AGGGGTCAAAAATCAAAAATGAATGGGAGAAGATGGGTCTAAAATTCGTACAAGAGGGCGAATTATGGTATGTATCAAAAACATACGATAAATCTAACTAAAAATCTGTTTAAATTCATTAATTCTTCAAAAAAACACAGGGATGGGATTCAGTCAACTAAGTGTTCATAGAAAGGTCTTGAAAGTTGACTGAACGACCAAATTTTCTCCTAAAGTTACCTTTCAGTAGAAATTCAGTCACCTTACAGTAAAACTTCAGTCTGCTTTTCAGTCAGTTTCATCCCTTGAAATCTCTCCTTTTTATTATTTACAGGATGTCCTTTCCTGATTTTATGAACACTTTCACACACATAGACATCTGTCACTTCGTCAACACCAGTATTATCAGTATAAAAAGACCTGGAGTGAGGCCATGTTTCACGGGGAGTGGACCATCTCAGGCAGAAATGGCGGGAATGACTATAACTCATTACCTTTCTCAGCAATCCCCAGGTACTGAAGGAAGAAGGGGGTGAATTTGTTCTACTTGTACAGTGTTTCCACAGTATAGAGCGCTTATAACGAATACACTTATAATGCACTGACGATTATAGCGAAGTGTTTTAAATCCCCGTGTGTTATAAACGTATTATAAGGTAACTGTAAATCGAATTGCATTTTGTACGTAGTAAAATCGGCCGTCCCTGTTTTTTAGTTCTAAGCTTCTTTATTGTATTTTATTTAAATATAAGAAAAGATGTAATATTTGTATACAGAAAGAGTTTTTTTTAATTTATGAGAAAAGTGTAATGACCAAAACTAACATGTTAGAGCATATAAATTTAATTTTAAGAATGCTATATAAAAAAAATTTTAATGATGTATTTACTGGGACAATATTTTTCTTCTAGAATTTTGACTGCATATAACCTTTAACAGAGATTGTACTACGAAAACTTGATTTTAATCAGAGCTGACTATTGTTTTATACTCTACAATTACTACTGCACGAAATTTCCTTCTTTATTTCTCTTGATTTAGTGAATTTTTCACGACTGCCCTGGCCATTAAACAAATAATAGAAAAGTAAACCGAATGAATTCAAATGAGACATTTTTTATTATATCTTGTAGTATGTCTTTGATATTGGAGGTGCCCAAGATCGCGTTATGGTGTCTCTGGAACAGCACGATATAAAACCAGGTCGGCAGGAACTGGGTATTCAGCTCAATAATATAGGATTCCACATCATGAAGGTAAAGGATACTGACAGACAGAAAGATACTGAAAAAAGAAATAGACACAAAAAAATTACATCATGATGGTATGAAACAAAAAATATTCTGATGTAAGAAACATTCTAGGAATACTTCGGGTTTTCAGATCATATACATGTTAGTAAGGGTACAACTGACAAAAAGAGAGACAGATCAAATATCGACCAGAATAATGCCAATGTAGAACAGTTTTATCATTAGCTTTTATAAATACAGTTTTTATCACGTTTTATGAATAAATATTCTGTGTGAAATAAATGTCTTTTAAAAGTTTCTTCTGATTAGCAATAATGACTATATCAATGACTCAGATCCGAAGACTATCGACTATATGACTCAAGACAAAATGTTCACGTTTTAATATGATGAGTTTTATTTAATGTATTTATTTAGACATTTTATTATTTCCTTTAACATTTCAAATCAGACATACATGTACGTAGAAAATTTTGTTTCATTATCAAAAAAAAAAATTCAAACGTTACACTTGTTCGAATCTTTAAGTCTTCTAAATAAATGCTTGGATCCAGATCAATGAAATGTTTATCAATATGATATGGCTATTAAATAATATATGTTGTAAGATAATGAAATGTTTATCTCATTGTAATACATCTTTGTTAATTTCAGGTGGAAGAGAATAGAAAATTCAGGGTACACATAGTAGGAGAGAAAGTGTTTACTTCCGAGTATGCTAAATCTAGAAGCGTTTTTGGGATCATGATTTTACAGAAAGGTCGATATGTAATAGTTCCTACCACAACTAGTTCGGATGAACTCGGGCCATTCATGTTACGACTTTACACCGGAAGTTCTTCTGGGGCAAAGTGAGTTGTTAATTTATTAAACAGTCGTAAAAGATCAAGAAAAATTATTTTTTGAAACCAAACAAGTATTTGAATGTGGTTGTCATAAGTATAATGTAGAAAAATCTTTGATGAGAAATATTGATAGAAGATTTTTTTTTAATGTCATCGTTGAGATACTTTAGTCATATATATTTATCTATGGTAAATCAAAGTGTCAAAGTTATCACTTTTGTAAATCAAAGTTTTCAAAGTGATCACTATAGTGTCATAGTTATCATTATAGAAAACAAAGTTTTTGAAGTTTTCACTATAGAAAATCAAAGTTTTTACCATAGTAAATCAATGTTTTTATCATAGTAAATAAAACTTTTCATAGGAATCACGATGGTTAAACAAAGTTTTCATAGTTATCACTTTAGTAAATCAAAGTGTCAAAGTTATCACTGTATTAAATTAAAGTTTTCATAGTTAATCAGAGATATCATTATAGTAATTCAAAGTTTTCATAGTGCCAAAGTTATCACTATTGTAAGGGTTATAATAACATAATATACAACATTCTCTAAATGTGAATCTCTTTCTTTTAATGCTCACAGTGCCAGGTAGGTTTTCATCCATTCTATCATGCATGTTGTTATAGGAAATTCTCAAGCATTGTTGATTGATCAATACACATAACCTTGCTTTCATTTATTTCCAATTAAAAGGGATTGTATGCAAATAAACCATTCAAATATCAAGCTTAACAGTATCTAAATCAATGCATATTGATGTTGTTAACCTGCTTAACCCTGCCAATTGACAAAATAATGGACAATGCTTTAGAATAATCGGACAAAATTCTGTCCTGAAATCGTCTCGTTGGATGGACTTCATTTCGTCTTTTATCATGGGAACCTTTTACTTTAAAAGGAATGTCATTTTTCCTCTTTGTAAAGGGTTAAGTATAATTATCTTTTGCACTCTTTCCAAACATGATATCTGTACGTGTAGATGGTTAGTTAAAAACAACGAAATCGCACGGTTTCAGAGGATTTACTAATTGTAAAAAAAAAATCCAGGTGACAAATACATACACTGTACCGTTGTATATCTATATATATTTACATTTCCAATGTGTTTGCTCGAGATAAATTACAAATAGTGAATGTATGTATTTCTCCATCAATGTACTGGTTCATCCATAGGCACGTGCAGGGCGGGACAAATAGAGACAAGAAGCGGGGCTTCTACATGTAGCACATGGATTGGCGGAATCAATGCCATGTAAATATGAGGAATAACTGTCAGATTTTTCGATTTCATGAAGATGATCAATCGATTGGCTTGTGTGATAATTTTATGCATAGACGCCCTCGGCGTTTATGCAAATTATCAAGCAAGCCAATCGATTTTTAGGTCACCTGAGTAAACTCAGGTGACCTATTGCTATCTGTTTTCGTCCGTCGTCGTTCGTCGTGCGTCGTGCGTCGTTCGTCGTTCGTCGTGCGTTAACATTTGAACATTTCAGCTTCTTCTCTGCAACCACTGAACCAATTTCAACCAAATTTGGTACAAAGCATCTATGGGTGAAGGGGAACAAAAATTATGAATTTCATGATCCCTCCCCTGGGGCCTGAGGGGTGGGGCCAAAACCACTAAAATTAGTGCAATCTTTAAAAATCTTCTTCTTTACTCCTGGACATCAAGCAGTCAAACTGTTTGCATGATTGTAATCAGCAATGAGTCCTCTACCAAAATTGTGAAATTCATGGCCCTGGGGTCAGGGGTTCTAGTGCTAGGGCGGGGCTAAATAAGTAGGTAGTGAAAATGCATTATTTCTTTGAAAATTTTCTTCTCTGCTCCTGGGTATTAAATAAACCAACTAAGTACATAGTTATGATAAGCAAGAGTGCCTCTACCAAAATTGTGAATTCTATGGCCCCAGGGTCAGGGGTTCTGGTGTTAGGGCGGGGCTCTATTGATTATATAGTGAAAATACATTAATTCTTTGAAAACCTTGTTCTCTACTCCTGGGTATTAAATAAACTAACTAAGTACATAGTTATGATAAGCAAGAGTGCCTCTACCAAAATTGTGAATTTTATGGCCCCAGGGTCAGGGGTTCTTGTTTTAGGGTGGGGCTCTAATGATTATATAGTGAAATGTATGAATTCTTTGAACATCTTATCCTTTGCTCTTGGTTAATATGCTAATGATCTAATTACATATCTAAGGCCAGGATTTATTTTATTTTCAGTTTTACAAACCCTCCGCTCAAGGTTTTGAAATTTTAGAAAAAAATTAAAAAAAATTTCTTTCCGATGTCAAATTTGAGTCGGGATCGAGATTTCAAATTTACGAACTCGCACTTCCGGTTTTTAGACCTGAAACGGCGGGTAAATAAAGCTAGATCCAAGAATGTAGCATGGTTTAGTGTAAAATTCATCGATAAGAGTGCCATTCAAAACGTTTCACCCGTTCAAAGGACAAATAAAATGCTGACGACTTTGTTGCACAATGACATGCTGGTGAGATAATTATGTATTCGTTTCAAAAGTAACTGTAAATTATTTTCCTCCCCCAGGTTTTAAACTGCCCGTGGTAGCTATTGCATATTGCCAGGGACATTGTTTAGGTCTCTGTTATAGCTTACAGTCTAAGCATCATTCTTCAGAAAATTGTTGCTTATGCATCAGATGTAATGAATAAAACTATGGGAGAAGTGAAGTCCATTTGAGGAAGAAATAAACAATAACCTGAAGTGAAGAAATAAAAAAAAATTCAACTATTAAAAGGCAAGAATATACAAATATATGTAGTATCATTTGTATCAGCCAGAAAAATTATTTTACACTTAATTGAAAAAATGTTGACCCTACTCCCCTTTTATGATAGGAATTATAATTTTAGGCATCAAGTAAATTTTAGAACAATGTCTACACATTCACCTAACACATATTAAGAAAATGAAGATGTATTGAAAGACTTTTAAAGAATTGATTTTTTAAAATATATTATGATCAACATCACAAAATTTATATAACTGGCCCAAACTGGCAGATGATGAAATAAGCAATTAAATGTTCTACTTTCCTATTTGTAAGCATTATGTGTCCAGTGGTAAAGAGCCTATTAGGATAGCATAAAAAAAGAATGTACAAATGCTAATAATTGATTTATCAAAAAAATTTATTTCCTTTTCCTTCGGGACTTTTTTATTCTCATGTTCATAACTCAAACCTAAACATAAAAAAAAATGCTGGCCTTATAATGAAGAAAGGGTCCTCTTTCAAAATAGATAATTTCAGGGCTGCTGGGTCAGGGGTACCAAGGGGGTACTTTGACTAAAAATAAATTAATGCTTTGAAATCTGCCCTTTGATAAGCAATGGTGCCTCTTTCAAAATTCGTGAATTTCATGGCTTTTGGCTTAAAACACGAACCAAATACAATCGCTGGAAAGTTGTTACATGATACTCAGGTGACCTATAAGGCCCGTGGGCCTCTTGTTTTCTCTTTTTTTAGGTCACCTGAGTAACTCAGGTGACCTATTGCTATCCGTTTTCATCCGTCGTCGTCCGTCGTGCGTCGTGTGTCGTGTGTTAACATTTGAACATTTTCAGCTTCTTCTCTAAACCACTGAACCACTTTCAACCAAATTTGATATACAGCATCTATGGGTGAAGGGGAACAAAAATAGTGAATTTCATGGTCCCTGCCCCCCTGGGGCCTGAGGGGTGGGGCCAAAACCACTAAAGTTAATAAAATCTTCTTCTTTACTCCTGGACATCAAGCAGGCAAACTGTTGGCATGAATGTAATGAGCATTGAGTCTTCTACCAAAATTGTGAAATTCATGGCCCCAGGGTCAGGGGTTCTAGTGCTAGGGCGGGGCTCTATAGATCATATAGTGAAAATGCATTATTTCTTTGAAAATCTTCTTCTCTGCTCCTGGGTATTAAATAAACTAACTAAGCACATAGTTATGATGAGCAAGAGTGCCTCTTCCAGATTTGTGAATTTTATGGCCCCAGGGTCAGGGGTTCTAGTGCTAGGGCGGGGCTCTATAGATTATATAGTAAAAATGCATTATTTCTTTGAAAATCTTCTACTCTGCTCCTGGGTATTAAATAAACTAACTAAGCACATAGTTATGATGAGCATGAGTGCTTCTTCCAGATTTATGAATTTTATGTCCCAAGGGACAGGGGTTCTGGTGTAAGGGCGGGGCTCTATTGATTATATAGTGAAAATGCATTATTTCTTTGAAAATCTTCTCTGTTCCTGGGTATTAAATAAACTAACTAAGCACATAGTTATGATGAGCAAGAGTGCCTCTTCCAGATTTGTGAATTTTATGGCCCCAGGGTCAGGGTTCTGGTAGTAGGGCAGGGCTCTTTTGATTATATAGTGAAAATGCATTTATTCTTTGAAAATCTTCTACTCTGCTTCTGGGTATTAAATCAACTAATTAAAGCACATAGTTATGATAAGCAAGAGTGCCTCTTCCAAAAATTGTGAATTTTATGGCCCCAGGGTCAGGGGTTCTGGTGTAAGGGCGGGGCTCTATTGATTATATAGTGAAAATGCATTTATTCTTTGAAAATCTTCTTCTCTGCTTCTGGGTATTAAATAAACTAACTAAGCACATAGTTATGATAAGCAAGAGTGCCTCTTCTAGATTTGTAAATTTTATGGTCCCAGGGTCAGGGGTTCTGGTGTTAGGGCGGGGCTCTATTGATTATATAGTAAAAATACATTAATTCTTTGAAAATATTTTCCTTTGCTTCTGGGTTTTATGCCAATGATCCAAGTATATATATATATATTTATGATGAAGAAAGGTGCATCTAGCAAAGTGGTTTTTTATGCCCCCAGGGTCAAAGGGGGGAGGTTACATAGTCTGAAAATAAATTAATGCTTTGAAATCTGCCCTTTGCTATTAGTCAACCATTTTATAATTACATTTGCAAAATTTTGAAACATGTGGCCCATGGGTCAGTGGGTGAGGTGCACAACTGGTTATAAAGTGGAAGTGCATTTCCTCTTTCTTACTCTGATCTACCTCTGGGTATTAAGTAAATAGAGTAAGCATGCTAAGTTAATAATTATGATAAGCAATGGTGCCTCTTTCAAAATTGTAAATTGTGAATTTCATGGCCTCCGGTTTAAAACACGAACCAAATATAATTGTTTGAAAGTTGTTACACAATACTCAGGTGACCTATAAGGCCCGTGGGCCTCTTGTTTGTATTTGTATTTTATTTGAACCGGAGACATTACATCTCATAGGTTTACAATATTCATACATAAGATTTGTACAGGCTATACAATATACATGTGTTAATTACATAACAATATCATTTAAATATTATTTATCACATCAGGAAATCGAAAAAAATACAGTTATTCCTTAATCCAAGGCCAGCAAAACAATGCCAACAAAAAAGACATTTTGCATGGAATTGCTTCTCAACTCAACCGATCGTATTCATATATGCATGATTTGTGAAACTGACACATCTTTAATCCAATATACATGCATTTAATTCTAAATGGATATTTGGTCTAAATAAATGTACGCAAATAAAGTCACATTTCAGGAAGATATAAAATCCAAATATAATTTTATTTGAAATTTAATTTTTTGGGAAGAAATATGCATATATTGATAGGAGAAAACAAACGATGACTTTTGTTTAATCATCAAAGCATTGTTTGTCCATAATTTTATCCTTTATAATGCAAAAAAAGTTAAGGAAATTCGGTTGAACTTGAAGTTATATTTTGATAGAGAACTGACCATGGAATGTCCATCCAATGGGTGTCCTTGTGCAGCTAACTACGTATTGGTTTCTACAGTCACCATAGAAAGCTGCTCTGACCTCGAGATTCCACCTAAATCCAAAGTAAAAAGTACGTAGTATTAAGTTTAATGCCATAAGACCATCTGCTAAGGGAGATGATTCTAAAAAAAATCAACTCATAATACATGCTTCTTTGTCATTTATTATTCGAACTCAGTAATAAATGAACTCAAATTTTGACTTTAATGCTATACTTTCATTATTTTTATGTCAAGTAAAAGGATTTAAAGACTTTATTTCAACAGTTGACTTATTTGAAAGATATAAAATCGACACACATGTCGAAATCATCATAGAATGAATATTTTGGTGTATCAAATTGTACAACAATAACATATACACTGTTCTATATATATTCATTTTAAGCAATGGATCCCTATGTGAAAATAATATGTGAAGGCGAAAAAGTGGAAAGTTTGACAAGAAGCAACGATAAGAACCCGAAGTTTGGAACAAAAGCCACATTCTACAGAAAGAAGCCTGATGATCCAATCATTGTAGAGGTATTATACTGAGATAATGTGGAATATACTGAGCTCTCTAATTTTAAGATGGCCGAGATAGTTTACAATGTACATATGTATCAAAAGACATGAACACGATACATATTGTTTGTGCATACTTTATTTTTTGAAAGAGTTCCATAAATTTAAACCCCAAAA